AAAAGAACTCCGCGCCGAAGCTCACGTACACATAAACACCTCCACTTGGCGTTCCGTTACACACTTCAAATTATAGCACTAGCAATCCACTTTATAAAAAATGTCAATTCTTAGGTACCCATTTACGTACTTCTGTATGGCGTGTTTGGAATTTGTGCAGGTCTGTGGACGTTTGGCGATCGAGTGATAGCAACGGTCGGCAAGAAAGTTTCACATATAAGCCCCACAAGGTGAATTTATTGTTGCATTTGTGAAGCTGTTGCCGTGAGTCGTTCATCCTTCGGACGACAGCAGCTCGTTCTCACAACCACAGCTTTATACAGCCCATGCCCTGTAAAGGGGCAGAAGAGAGGGGATGGGTCCAAAAATACCGATATCAACGCAAAACCGGTGGACAACCACTAGTTCAATCAGAGACGCAGTGCGTGAGAGAGTCCGCACAACATTAGGTAGACTTCAGACCTCCTAGAGTTCAGACTTCACAATGATGCGCTGTAACGCGCCACAATTACAACAGCGCTTCAGAAACTATAGTAGACGCGAACGCACTGCAGACGGCCGATGCCGATCGGTTCTCGTCTGCAACGCTCGATGAATATGCGCCGCCGCTTGTGGAGAGACTATAGGGTAATAGGATGGTAGGTGATGCTTAGTTACGACACGACACGTGCAGACTGGTATTGATGGGCACTGCCCATCTGCTGCTGCGATCTGTAGCTTTGAAGCGCTGTTGCAATTATTGCGCGTCGACGCGCGTCACAGCGCCTCACAGCGCGTCGACTTGCGTCATCGCGAAGTCTGAACGTCGCTCAAATGAGACCCCCGCTCTCCGTCTAACCGACAACTGTCCACAAATGAGCAGCCGATTATTCGTCGACATATGGACACTTACAATTAGACACATGGTTTCATCTCCAGGATATAGAGTGTGTGTAGCGTTAGCGAGGATTCCTTCGTAGATCAGAGCTACTCGTTCGCAAAAGCTGACAGTGAGGTACGGTAGCGAGCTATTCTATGCAAGTGGACCCGTTATTTTCTGCAGTTGCTGGGGCGTGCGAGGGGGTTCTTTTCGCACGACGCTGGCCCGTCGTTTTGATAATTGGTGGAGAACGAGCTGGCGCCGCCCCATACTCAGCCCACTGCATCCTCAGCGAGCAGGACTGTAAATGTCCAATGGGCCTAAAACCTTCAAGACTTTTCCCACATCCCAGTCAGAGTTATGTAAGGCTGCGTTTATACTTTGCGGCAGCGTACGCTAGCGTTTCCAGCGTTCGGCAGCGGCAGTGGCAAGGGAAGGATGGATATCGATCTAGCGTCACCAGCGTACGCTAGCGTAGCGAGGGCAAGGAAAGCATAGGTATCGATTTAGCGTTTTCAGGTATATATGTTAGGTTGGGCGGGAAAGTTTTGTCACTTATTTTCGAACTCAAATTACTTGCTCATTAGCAAGAGGGGTAATCGGTAATGTAAGCTCTTGTACAACAAGGAGTGGTCTCTCTGTTAGTACCACTCGCTTGCCTCTTGCTCCTTCTTCTGCAATATGCACAAGGATTTTATCCGCTACCATCAGCCCCGACCCATCCAACAACTTCCACAAACTATTTCACCCACCACCCTGACGCCAGCGTGTTTAGCTGGGCAGATGCAATTGATGGAGCTGAATAAAGCACGCAGCCCAATCGATCGAGCAACCTTACCACGACAGTGACGCTTCAAGGCGGGAGCCTAGGGAGCCTACAGTTTTGATGACGAAGTGAGGTTTGGGTTACCTGCAAACTCAGCTTGAGGGAGCTATGGGTCGGGAAACTGCTGGATGAAGAAGCTGCTCCTTGGTCAAGGCGTACGCAAAGCAGCTACGAGATCTAAGGCGTATCGTGGATCAGAGGGAAAAATTTGTCCGCACAGCCGGCCCTCACCAAGAGAGTGCAACGCACTTGGTCCAAAAAAGTTCGAGCCGTACCTCATGCAATGGAGCTTGATCTCTCTCGTGTCGCAATGGCATTAATTTAGCACAGACATCGCCTTCTAATAGCAAGTTGGCCTTCCGTAATCGATCGTTATGCGGACGAGAAAACCTCCATAACCCAAGTTCAAGTCGAAGTTGAGATGGTGTCCAACTTTGCGTCGTGTCTCCCTGCATAGTGAAGCGATGGCATCCATGAGGTGCTCAAACAGTGGCAAGGACCCCGCAGTTACATTGCTGTACAATTTTGATCTTACACTCCTCTCTATAAAAAGAAAGCCTAGTTTGAAAAAATGTGACAGAACTTTCCGTCAACCTAATACTTGCAACTGAGTCTATAAACTATGATTTTTGCAAGAACTTCTGGCTCTATTTA